CAGGTTTTTCTGATTAGAGAATCAAGAGCAAGCAGTGCGTGATGATCAAGTGCATGCCGAACTGGATAAAAGACGAGCTTACTTGTTTGAATGGAGCAGTCATTGTGTTGGGTCGGATAAGTCGTTTGCTTGACAGTGCTCGTGGCGGCAGGGTTGGAGTTCTCTCGTAGATAATATCAATTAGCCTACAGTCAAAACGCAACAGTTGCTTACAGATATATGCTAGAACTTATAAAAACTATTTCGAAGTAACGATACGAACACTGTAAACAAAGTCTTTTAGTAAAAGGCATAGAGTTTAATTCTAAACGTCCAATATCATAGGTAATAAGATCTTTGTTCCAGAATAAATGAATATTTTAATCAGCTCCTGGACGACAAAATGGATAAACTTTAAGTCAATGCTAGTAACGTAAGCCCAAAGTAAATCCATGAAAATAGTAGGCAAAAAATTCATAAAGATCAAACAAAAAATTCATTGCATAATTTTTAAAATATTCAATCAATCTCTATCGTGGCGGACTAGAACAATCAAAACAAAGCATCAATAGATGATTATTTTATTGTATTGAGTCTGAAGCCATCACACTAGTGACTAATTAGATAAGTCCTCTATGAAATAATTTGAATACTCAAATTCAAGATTATGATCAAATTAAAGGCTGCATGGATATGAGGAACAAGGTGCTATGGAAAACTTTGAAAAGATCAGTGAAGGAAAGTCTGAATAAGCATGTAATGTTGTTATCAGCAAGAATGGTTCGATTGGAAAAAGGACTGAATGCAACAGAATGGAGGAGAATGGTAAGGAGAAGCTAAAGCATTGAAGGAGACTTACTTGACGAGAATTTGTCCGTTCTTCAAGGCTCGATGCACATTCTCTCGGCCTAAGGGAATTTGTGTGCCAGTAACTTGGCTCACCCAATTAATGGCTTCACGTTCGGAATCCACATCATATTTGCTGTTCAACTAAAATGAAGAAAATAATGAGAGTATTAAAAAAATTGAGTTCACAATCTAAAAGCCGTATCCCTAATTCGCCCCATAAAGTGAAGCACTTGAAGCATAAGATGATATAAAAAGCAGTTGCAATAGTCTATTTGAAATAATAAATAATCCATGTTCATGAGCCAAAGATACCACCCAAATTAACATTGAATTTTTTTCGGAATGGATCTCTATTATATATGAGCTGTTTAATAAATTTCTCAATTGACTTGAGGCCAGGCTCGAGCTGTTCGATAACCACGCCTGGCCACTTGTAAGGCATACAAAGCTGTGTTTTGTATAGTAGCAAAAACCTATTTTTGGACCAAGAACTCTGAGCCTTCATTAAGAAGTACTTTTAGGATAATGTCGTCCAGCATCCACTTTTAGACTTGACACTACAAGAATAAGATATGAAGCTCGATACTAATTCTTTGCACTCAACTGTTCACGATTGAGTAAGCAAATTTATCAAGATATACACCGTTTCGTTTTTAGTCTTGCAGGCATGAGCTGCAATTTCGTTCACACGGAAGATTTTTAAAATGCCTAGATTTTCCCTTTGCGTTTGGATCGCAAACGAATACACTTAGGTTGGATATCAGGTTCGATCTGAGATGGATCTAATCTGATCAAAGTTGAGTTAGGCTGTGAAAGTCATTCCTGCCATGTAACCCAAATCACGAAGCCCAAGGGGTAAAGTGCTGATCTGAATATCCAAAGTGCGAGTTCCGCTGTTAATGCTAGTGACACCTGGTTATGTCGAGACTGTAGTCCTATGAATGATACAAAGAATTACAATAGCAAAATTAAGCCATCCTTTCGCTCCCTTATGCGTGGCTTAATTAACGGCATCAATCGCAAGCTCTTAATTGCGAACAAATCCAAAGCGGCATAGAAACGAAAATTTTTTCGTTATCGAGTAGGTAGTAAATCAGATATATGAGATGTGTTCACTCTATTCCATTTAAGATGATAAAGGACTGGTAGTTGAATTTTCCCACAATTATATAAGTAGAGCTGACGTTTCCATTTCACTATACATCTGATCTACTGGTAGTCTCGAAAACCTACTGATTAACGAAAAAAGTAATTTGCTATAACAAATATAAGTTTGATCGAATGTAGTAAGACCAAGAAAGTGTGGCCTTTTGTGTGGTCGCAGTCTCCTTTCGTTGTAAAGAGGTTGTTGGACCTTGTTTTCGCAACTTGGTCATGTTGGTAGGAAGACTTAGAGGAACGCACCTAGTCCAGAGTCCATTGTATGCATGATCATTTCCAAAGTCGGACCGTGGACACTCCGAGACGTTTCGCCAGCATCGTAGTCGGCATCGTCAGTGAGTCTCGCCGTTCTTAGCACCACACAAAAACTCATCAAAAGAGACAAGTGAAGCCTATACTTTGACAAAACGTGTGCTAAACAGTTGTGGTATCTCCCCTTCTGCGATGGGCTATTCACATTTCCTATAACCTCTTATCACACCTTCACTGTTACAATTTTTTCCTTATTTGCCTATTTAAATCTAGTGTGATGTGACCTTTTGAGCGGCTTTCATAAGAACACGCCACATTTAACACTGGCGTTCTCACCCCCCTTCATCATTTTGCTGGGAATGTGGCTTAGAGTCTGCAATATGTTGATTAGGTTTAACATTGAAGCTAATCAAAGCAAGAAGTACCACAGCATTTGTGGGTTGGCACACAAGAAACTAGGGCATAAAAAGTCATAGACTTGGTATCAGGGATAGAAACAGGATAGACGCGGCAGAGACTGGAGCTAGTTGGCTGACAGTAGGTTTTACCAGAGACGTGGTCCCACGTAGCAAAGGCGTGACCATGAAACTTACTCAGAGGCCTTAGCCTCGAATTAGTCACTCAGAGGCAGAGTGTGGGAAATAACGCCTCGAGTAGCACAGATGGGGTGGCGGAGGTCGAGTGAAATGCTTGAACCAGTGCGATAGCAGACGGATTCTACGGGGCAACAGGGAGACTGTGATAAGACCTATGGAAAGAGGACTGCGTGAAAGGGGGTGAGAACGCCAGCGTGGAGTGCGAAAGGTTCTCATAAAAGCCGCTCAAAAGGTCACACCACACTAGATTTATATAAGCAGGGGAGGAAAAAATTGTAACAGTGAAGGTGTGATAAGAAGTTATAGGAAATGTGAATAGCCCATGGCAGAAGAGGAGATACCACAACTGTTTAGCACACGTTTTGTCAAACGATCGGCTTCACTTGTCTCTTTGACGGGTTGTGTGGTGCTAAGAATGGTGAGACGCACTGACAATTCCGACTACGGCGCCGGCGAAACGTCTGGGAATGTATCATGTCCACGGTCCGACTTTGAAAATGATCATGCATACAATGCACTCCGGACTAGGTGCGTTCCTCTAAGTCTTTCTGCCAATATGACCAAATTGCGAAAACAAGGTCAAACAACCTCTAAATATAAGTTTGCTTCATCGACAATCCAAGCATTGAATATGATATGGAAAGTGCCTGACCCTCCTTGAAATTCGCATCTGCCATGTCACCGAGTGGCGGAGTGGGTAACATATCGAGCTTACAGGTTGCACTATAATGGTTTAACCTCAGCTGGAGGTGTTGATAAGACCTATGCGAGGTCAAAACTGCAGTCTATCCTGGATTAGAACACCTTGTAGGAAAGCAATGCTATGTGAAATTCAATGGAAACGTCAGTTCTATTTATATCATTGTAGGATAATTCAACTACCAGTCCTTCATCACTTTAAACGAAATAGGGTGAACACTTCTGATATAAGAAACGAACATGTCATTCCTTGGCAGGAATTTCGCCTTAGCCTCCTGATTGACAAAATATTGATACAAATATTTAATTTAAAATATTAAGAAGCTGAAAAGGTAACAAAAATGTGTAGAAATGCATGTAGAAAAAGTAGAAACAAACCATTTTTATGTGCTATTAAAAAGAGGGAGAGACTTTAAGCATAAAAATGAGCAAGGGAAAAAAGTAACAGTAACGCATGAAAAAAGAAAGAACGAAATAAGAAAGGGTGATGAGCAAGTGACGATCAGATATATGATGGTGAGATACAAAGTAAGACGAAAAAAAATAATGAAGGAAGCGATGAAAGTAATAAATGAATGAAGAAAAGAAGAAAGATAGGAAAAAAGGAAGGAAGGAAGCTAAAGTTGTGGAAAGGAATAAAAATGTAAAGTAAATGTAATGAATGATTTAAGAATATATTTAATAAAATGATATTCTGAAATTTGAAGCGAAGAGTTAAAGATAAGAATGAGTTATATGTGCGTAAAATGAACATAAAAAACTCGAAAAATGCGTGAAACTACAGTATAGATAAGAAACACTAATAAGGGAATGACGCAGTAATAGTTCCCTATAATGGGAAATATTACAATCAAAATTACTCAAAGCACGAGCTCTTGAATGCATATTTTGATATTGATGAATATTTCATTCTAAGCGACTGCCCTTTCGGCTTAGATAATTAAAAGTGAAATTGAATGGACTACGCAGTAAGTAGATTTAAGAGAGCTTCCAGCAGATTTGCAGGTAATTCGAATCATAAAATAAATTGTTTGATAATTTAATTGCCCAAAGAGTTACAAAACACAACCTTTGAAAAAGTTTACACTGACAACGATAGACTTAAATTGACATAAAGTAGGTTTTCATTATGGAAATTTTCTAGCCTTTCATCCTTTTTGAATTTCTTCGCTTCCAACAGTTCGAGAACACTTGCTGTTTCCCCTTCAAACCAATGCGACCTAATTAAGATGAATAAGATGAGTAGATGGGCTAACTCGAGGCTGCTCCAGCGAGTAAAGGACGAATATGTCAAATATTCAAGGACTCTAGCTATCCCGGAAGAAAGTTAGATTCTGATTACCGGAAAACAATTTGATAACAGTTTTTCTATATCTTTAGTCCGCCTGCGGTCAAAAAGGGACTAATGAGGGAACCTACAGTGAGATGAAGAGGAGCGGAGTTTCGAAGAAGCCCTTAATAATTTTGTGTTGTAGTTCAGTTAATTAGTTTAGTGGAAGGATAAATGGAGGATAATCACAAATTAGTCTTACATGAAACCTACAAAAGATTGTCTTGAAACGGTGACTGAGACTGTGGGTGCATCGTTCTGCTACCCGAAATTCATTCGTGTTGAGTTTTTCTTGACAATCACGGTCAGGGCGTGAAATCAAGATCTACGCAAAATTCACCAATGTTGTCTCTTCACAGGTTTTCTTGTGTCAGGTTTTGTTGAATTTAAATGTCTGTCACGGCCGGAAAGACAAATAGCTCAACACCAATGGATTGGAATCGCATATCGGTGTGCCCAGGACGTCTTCGAACAAATTCACAGTCACTAGTCTAAGGCGATCAATCCTTTCACGAATACCTTTTGAACCATTCATCATACAAAATGAAGGATGCAATTTTCGAGATAAGAAGTTTTTGGGAGAATGAGTAAATCTCGAATAGGAGCTTAATCAACCTAGATCGAATTAGGTGATTTTAAAGAACTGATAGTGGAGTTTTCCCACAATGAGATGAGTATGCCACACAATGACATTGAGATTCACCTAAACTTGCCTCCCAAAAAGCGATATCATACAGGCCGGACTGCCGTTTCGACCTGGCCTAAGCCTCATCCGCACTCCAATTGGATTCGCTATCGGTTCTGGAGTATCGTGGCAATGTTACCACTCCACTCCACTATATGGCCACAAGTACCAGTGGATCGCAGGGCAGATGCGGCATTCAAGGTAAGCCAGCCCTCTCCATACTCAAAATTTATAATGGGATTGCCAATTAGACAAACATGTGTTTGCCATTGCAATCGAGACCATCATTATTTCTTGATAAGAACTTAGTCACCAAAAATTTTCTTTATATAAAACTTCGCTTTGAGGAACGGTTAGGATAGTTACTATTCACGGATAAGATTTTAAGTCTGTTCTCAATGGAAATTACTTATTTCCAGAATTAAAGGGAAATGTAACTATTTAAGTATTTTTAGTCATTTGAAAACATTCATAGGCATAAGAAAAGAAATGATTAGTTTAATGTGACGAAGGACTGGTAGTTGAATCTTCCCACAAGGATATGAGTAGCCCTTATGTTGTCATTGAATTTCACATTGAATTTCATAACTTACTTATAAACGAAAAGTAAAAAAAGAAGCAAACTTGTAAGTATATTGCTGAAAGTGAGAAAGCCATATGTCCATACTATACTCTTTACTTTGAGGTCAACTAAGTTTTAAATAATATTTAGCCTCCGCCAACTAGTTGACCTGATACTCTAAATATTTACAGACCTGATGAATTCACGTGCATATATATCTACGAGTGTTAAACATTCCCGACCAGATTGATACATGCTGCAAGCGGCTTTATAAATGCGTAAAGCCTTTATATGTGTTTTCTCGTCTTCTTGCTTCAGCTACTTCATATTTGTGAATTTCTAGAACGACAACCGCTCACTCAGACTCACTGACAGCTCCCGACACAGGGTTTCTAACTTCATAAATAATAAAAATGGATTTACTTTTGATAAACATATAAAAACACCCCCCACACGCACCAAAGATTTTGTATGATAGTTAATGTTATCTTGAGGCCTTGTCGTTGCATTTCGGGAAAACACAACTATCAGTCCTTAAACCACCCTAAGCAATCCAGGGTGACTAAGCTCTTAAGAATTACTGATAGCCTTGAAATCTACAGAGATTGAAACAAAGTAAGATCTTCGATTGCAATGGCAAACACATATTTGCTTAATCAACAATTCCACTATAAACTGTGAGTTGGAATAAGCCAGGGTTTACTTAAATCTCGCTTTTGCCCTGGACCCACTGGTGACCAAAGCCGTGGAGTGGAAGGAAATTGTAACATAGAAACTGCAGTCCACCCTGTATGAGATCATCTTTTGATGGGCAAGGCTATGTGAACTTAAATGGCATCGTGAGGACTACTAATTTCATTTTGGGAAAATTCAGCTATCAGTCTTTAAAATCCCTTTAAATACCCTAGGGTGAGTAAACCCTTGTTCAAGAACTTCTGAGTTTCAAAACCTACTTCGAACGAAAGTAGGTAACGTTGTTGATTGCAATGGCAGAAATTTTATCGTAACTGTAAGATCCGATACGCTATCATCTATGGCTGTATCGTAGACTATTAACGTCATCATGGTTTAAATAAAGTATGGA